TGGTCAGAGTGTATAATCCTTTTATAATACTGTTGAATTTGGTTTGCTCCTGTTTTGTTGAGGATTCTCTCTTTTAAAGAAAAAACAAAATTCAATGTATCTACTCTCCTCTCTTCTTTATTCCTTTCTTTTCTTCTCACTATTGAGAGCCAAAGAAAATATTTGTGTTTTCTTCACCATTTTCCCGATGTCTATAAATAAATAGTGTCCAAACCACCTATAGATGTCAGAAAACTATAAATGGTATACGGTATTCTTATCAAACTATTTCTGTGTTGGGCTTGCCAACAATTTTGTCCATGAGAAAATTTAATAATGTTCATTCACAATAGTCTTTTCTTCCCCAAAGAATAAAAGAAATTGGGAAAATAATGTTCATTGGTATTTCAGTGTCAAACATGGGCAAATCAGAGCCTCAGACACTCCATTAGAGTGTTTTTATAGATAGTAGTACCCTTTTCAGTATCTGAAACCTTTTAAAACTCATTCCTATTTTAAAAATTTCCAGAGAAGGTTTTTTTCTATGGATAGCAAGACTTGGGAAATAATAGTTCTGTGGTCTTATTCTGTAGCCATAATGTCTTCCAGTAATTGGGTCAGGGGAATATAAATTATTCATGGAAACCAGATAGAGTCAGTATGGCAGACTCAGAGAGAAACTGACTCAGATAGAACTTTTCCAAATGCATAGAAATGCTAGGTGAAATATGAACAAAGGAAGCCTTTCAATACAAATTACCTTCAAAAGAAAGACAAGGAAACCTAGGTACCAGAAATGCAGAGACATCAAAGCCAGCAGGATAAGAAGGAGCTGAAGCCAAGAAGGCTGCATAGGGGTATCAGACACCATAAAAGGTTCATGGGTTGAAGGCTCAAGGATTAATGTAGGGAGAGGAGGTAAAACCGAAATCCCATGTGAGAAAGAACAGAACCCTATACATAAAGCTGCAAATTTTGTAGGACTGTAATTTTAATGAAACAGAAACTAGAAAAATTGTACTCACTAGATTGACAAAGCAGAAATAAGTCATACTATGCACCCAGGGAAATGGTTAGAATTATCCGCTAGAAACTGAAAACCCATATTTACAGGTAAGGTCCAATTTAAGAGTATTCCCAGTGCTACAGAAACTAAGCTAACATAATAATATAAAAGTGAGCCCTAACTCAGGACCCTGGGGAAAAAAAAATCGAAGAATGATGCTATAACTGAAGCGCACAGAGTAAATGAATCACAATGAGAGAGAGTCATTGAATATTACAGATTCTTTTTTAGCGCCCAAGAATTGAAGGTGCAAAGAGTGTCTGAAAGGGTCTGGTAGAGTGACAAAAGAGGAAAAGAACAAAGTAGGGTTGTATATAAGAAGAGGTAGATCTGGAAGAAAAATAAAATTTATAGACATAAGGGGTAGTAATTTAAACTTTAAAATGTTGATCAGTTTAAAAAGAATTTAGATAAAGCCGAGGGGTGAGAGGAAATAGAAAATGTGGAGGAGATTTAAAGATGTGGAAGATAGAATCATATATGTATATATAGAGATGCATACATATAAATGAACTCTTGGACAAGAAAAAGAACGGGGGAAAGGCAATATTCAAACTGTTTACCATAAGTAAAAATAAACAAACCCTCAGGTTATTGTAAGTTTCCAGATCTGAGCAGCAAAACAAGATAGAAAAACAAAATCACACTTAGTCATACTAAGCATTATAATGAAACTGCAGAGCATCAAAGACAAAGGGAGTCATTGTGAAAACAGCCAGAAAAATAAGACAGATTACCCACAAAGAACTAGCCTTCTAAATGGGTAGACAGTACAGAAGACAGGAAGAAAAGAAGCTACAAAGAAAACATGATAAACTGGAGGCATAAAATAAATGATATCATTTAGACATATTTTAAAACATGCTTATATAGTAATTGTGAATGCATACAATGTAAAGAACACAAGTCCAAAAATATGGACAGATTATTTCTGTTGGTATAGTAGAAAAGAGAGGAGTGGGATTAAAGAAGAATATAAAAGAACTTTATATTTGTGATTTTATTATTTTGTTAAAATCTGCAGTCATTCTCACAAGCAGGCCCACTCCTGACATTTGTAGGACTTGGTGCAGGAATGCAAATGGAGACATGTGCAATGTCTAAGTATGTGAAAGCTATAAGCCTCAGTAACATATAGCTATATACCTTGATTAACATACCTTCATAAAGTCTGAATGTGTTGTGGTTCCCAGATTCTTTGGAGGTCTGAACCAGAAAGCAGTAACATGGGGAAATTAACCTGTGCACCCTTCCTCCTGTCCCGTGCCCTACTCTGCTGCATTGGAAGGGTATTTGCATTCATGTGAGTGGACATCCCAGTCCACAAACTCCATGGAAAAAAACATGCCTTGATCATACCCACAGATCTAAAAGTGAGGACATTGGCTATATGGTCTATTTCTAGGAAGACAGATTTAGCCAGGAAGTCACGAGGACCTTGGATGCCAACTTATAGGTCACTGAGTAGAAATTTCTAGGCTCCCAAATACCTGGGATGGTTGACAGAATTGTACTCTGGATGGACATATATCTTTGGCCCCATGGACCCCTCACCACATGTGGTGAGGGGAACAGACTGGGTCCCTTTGAAGCCTGGGATCAAAGGGTGGAACTTACCATTTGCTAAAGTCGAGCATGTTGATGGGCAGTCACTGTACTGGTTTCTGACTATCTCTATGTATTTGGAATATTTCATTTTTTTTTAAAGGAGAACAGCATACACCATTCTAAAGGGTATTAGGGACATCTGCCCACAGGCAGGGGCAGGAGCTCTGTTAGCAAAACATCCTGTGACCATTTTGATTTGGCATGGCTGAGTCTCTGTTTCCTCACCTGCCCAGTGAAAGATTAAGATGTATGATTTTTGAAGGCCCCTCCCCCTGCTATGGTTCCATGAAGTTCTTACAAATTCCCATTCCCAGGAAGAGCTTCTAGACCTGAAATATTGGAGGAACCAAGACTGGCAAAGGAGGGAGGTTGTGGTGGCAGGAACCAGCCCTGTGTCTGCCCTAGGTTGCTACGGAAATAGTGCCCACATCACCCCACAACTCACTGTATAGGACCCACGTGGCAAAGCTGCCTGGGGGAACTCCCTGGGTCCACATGTCTTAAGCAGATCCCAGCAGTGACCTCCATGGATGAATCACGGCCGGTGCTGGGTCAGACAAAGAAGACAGGCCCATAGTTACTCCTCCATATCCTGAATCCAGCCAGCACAGAGGTCAGCAGGTGGCCAGATGACAGCCTCACGCACGGGATGGAGCGCTCATGGGCTCACTTGCCTGCTGTCCCCATGCTCTAGGCCAGGTGCTCCGCAGGGTCCAGTGAGACTTTGCCCATGGAAGAAAAATCTGTGAGAGGGAAAGGAAAGCTAGTGTGAAGGGATAGAAAAGGTGTTTTTCCTCATCAGCCATCAGCCATTTGCCAAGCTCAGCTAGCTGAGCCTCACCCTTAATTGGTGATGAATTAAACATTGCCCTTTCAACCAAGATAATCATAAAGTGCTCTCTTTGGGAAACCCAAGTATGAAATGAACTTCAGCTCTAGAACTATAGAATACTCAGATTCTTCTGCTCTTTTGGAGGTATTTGTGGGAGCTGTGACATGACTATGGTCAGGCAGGGATCCTCCTCAGTCCTAAGACTCATGGGCAGGGAGTGGGGGCAAGTAAGGGGTGCTTTAGACTGCAAGCAACTGCACCCTCTTAAGCAAGTTCTCTGCCCTCAAGTTTCTACAGTTAGCAGATGGTAGGGGTGTGGGGGAGATAGTCAGTGGTAGGGCTGCCATAGCAAAGTACCACAGACTAGGTTGTTTCAACAACACAAATTTATTTTCTCACATTTCCAGAGGCTAGAAGCCCAAATCAAGGTGTTCGCAGGGCTGGTTACTTCAGAGACTTCTTTATGCTGGGTGAATTGGCACCATCTTCTTCCATCACGTGGATCTCCCTCCTGCATGTGCCAATGTCCTAATCCCTTCTTATAAGGACACCAGTCAAATTGGATTAGGTCGACATACCGATAGTAAGAAATCAGGGCATCTCTGGTGGCGCAAGGGGTTATGCACCACACTAGGAAGCAATCCGCAGCCTCTGCAGCACGAGTTCGATCCCTGACCAGTCAAGGAGCAACCCACACCTCTTGACTTACCCTCTGCTCCCCTCAGCAGTGTGTTTCAGTCAGTCTGCCTGTTCTGTTCCCCACTCTGTCTCTGGTGAATCCTCTCATCCGCCACACCTCTGGCCTGTACCCCAGTTCTTGTATGCATAAATAAATAAATCTTTTAAAAAAAAAAAAAGAAAAAAGAAATCAAAGCACTTTGGCCTAGTGGGCACTTTTTAAGCCCACCTCTCTGATTTACGGAAATACCAGCTGCCCTCCAGGATAGCTCTCTATTTCTTCAAAGCAATAGTTACCATGGAGGAAATCATTTCAGAAAAAGAATGGAATGGCTCCTAATCCTCATGTTTTAGAAGAAAACTCACCTTGGTTTTCATTGTGATTCAAAATATACATCAAGTTCTACAGAAAGCACCTGACTCTTGCCATGACAGTGTACCTACTGCAGCAAGGGCGCTGCAGGTGGGATCGAGGCTTTTAAGTCGTTTACTGTAGAAACAGATGATTCTTTGCAAAAGCATCCTGGGAAGCCAAGGGTTAGCCTGGTATGAAAGGGCACTTGTAGTACACTTCAGTTAAGAGGAATGCAGGGTTCAGAGGCGTTATGTACAGACGGACTGAACACAGAGCCTTTTAGGAGAGAGGGCAATGCACTCAAAGTGTCAAGATAGCATCTACTGTAAATAATGGGGCAGCTTGTGAAACTGGACATTTTTCTGGATGGGGGGAAGCTTTTCTTCCTGTCTGTTTTATTTTACAACCTGAAGTCATTCAGCGAGTACCTTTGAGATGTGTGTGTGTGTGAACTAGAGACTGACTGTTTGATTTGCCCACAGGATGAACGAGCGTGACCGCCTGTTAAAGCGGCTCAGCAGGAAGACGCCCCCCACGCTCTTCCGGGGCAGCTCTTTCCAGCAGAGTGTCCCCCGTAAGTAATCACTGTGCCCAGTGCCCACTGCGGTCAGAGCACCCTGACTCACGCAGGGAGGGCGGGAAGCTTAATTAAAGCACGGGTAGTGCTAATAGGGAAAGAGACAGCTGCCAGGCCGGAGCCCCACATTTGGAAGTGGAATTCATGTATTTGGCCTGAGGCAAGCACAGCTTGAAGGTAGGTAATTCCCTAGGACCCAATCAAATGCCTGAATGACAAAATCCTTAAACTTAAAATCCTGATGTGGTTAAGATCCTCTGTCAGCCTCCCAATAGGTTTTCTAAAGTTGATATGATATTACTTTTAAATTGTTTCCCCCAAAGAAAGAAATACGCACTGTTTTATTTAATGTTAGCGTATTAATTAAAACAATGACAATCACTGGGGGGAAAAAAATCCTCTGCTTTTCCAAAGAAGCCCCCACCCCAAATCTAACTTTGGTGTCTCCCCCCCACCCCTTTGAACACTAGATACCTGGTCTGATTCCTGACAAAGGGACCTGACCCAAGCAGGGGTCTGTGGGGGTGCACAGAACCCAGAGGTACAGAGGTCAAGAGACTATGAAAGGCAGACGGGGTGATGGAGCTCACGGGGAGTCTGTGGGCTTATGTTTTAGCAGTCTAGCCACTTGGGTCCCAGCTGAGGAATGTCGTTAGAATCTAGATTTCCTTTGTTCAGGTCACCTGCCTTCCCCAGAGCTGAGGACTCTTGGCATGAGATCTGCAGGCCCCTAGTTCTGCCTCTCTGAACCCCAGTTCTCTCCAGCATGTACTCCCTCTTTATGCATATCCGTGCAGTCTCCTCAGCCTTCACTTCTTGCTTTCTTTTCCTGTTTTGAGGGGTTAAGAGGAAACAATTGATAGACCTAAAACAGTCTAGGAAAAGTAAAGAATTATTGTACTGAGGCATCTGTCAGGTGTTAAGAGAGCTATGTTATGAGCTCTACTTGTACTGGATCTTCACAGGCTTTTCCAATGGAGAGAGGAGGAAAGGGGTGGAGCATTATTGCCTTTCAGTCAGCAGCCCCTCCCTCACTTTTCCGGTGTGGAATGTCAGTGTGCATAGTGGGGCTGGGGCCAACACCAGTTTGGTGTCTTCTGTGCCTCATATCCTTTAAGGCTCCAGCCCCCATGTGGCAAGTGGCGTAGGGGTACTGGTCAGTGCAGTAACCGGCCGAGTGGAGTCTGGATGGCATCTGAGGTCTTTTTGACAGAAGGGTTGAGGCAAGAGGCTTGATGGGGAAGTCCAAAGAGCTAGGTCTGTAGGGCCCTGCCTTTAGAGTTGGGCTGCCTGGAGTCCTTTTTGGTGGCTTTGGTCAAGTTACTTAAGCCCTCTTTTCTACATCTGTCAAGTGGCAATGATATGAAACTCTGCCTGGGGTTATTGCAAGGATTTAACAAGATCATGTATGCAAGGCGCCAGAATCATGCTTACCTGTGTGAAATCCAATAAATGTTAGGTATCAACATTTTATCATCACCTATTTTCTCCTTTAGAAAAATGATAATCTACATCTTTTGCAGTCTTTGTGAGGCTTCATGATATATGCAAACTCCTTCTCTGTGCTGGGCACAGAGAACACTTGCCGATTCCCTAAACTGCAGTGTTCATGTGCGGAGCTACATTGCTGCCCCAGTAAATGTTCCAAATAGTCATAGAAGTAAAATATGTTAAACACACACATACACACAAACACACACACACAAAATGAGATAACAGATCAAATGAGAACTTCTCTGGGAGAGTTATAAATGTTTTGAGACAGCTACTAAATGTTTTTTTTTTTTTTAACTCAATATTTTGAAGGACAAAAAAAAAATCTATTGAACATGTACAAGAAATCAAAAGCTTCTAAAAATCACAGCATGTTTTAAAAACTCAGTAACTCGTAGTAAGAACTTGTAAGCTTGAATGCTCCTGATATTAACAAATAGAGACGTCTGTAAGCAGACATTCTGCAATGCTTATCCCAGCCTCTGCATATTCCTCCTTAAGCCTCCCTTCAACTATCTTGGGCCTCAGTCTTCTGAAAAAGCTAGAAAGAAAAACCTGAATCTAATCTTGGTACTACTTTTGGTTCCTTCTGGGCCACCAACATACAGCATTTGTAACTGAGATCAGTGTTTCCTACAGAGTGTAATCCCCTTTGTCCCTATGGTCTTTCCCATTTCTCTTCCTATTTAGGGATCTTTTTCCAGACAAGAAACTGCTACTTTCATTAGATGTTATCAGAGCTCAGATTTGAAGAAATGCTACTTAAGGGGAGTTTTATTCCCAAATAATGAAAAAAGGGTATAATTTTATGGATTTCGCCAAATGTTCTCCCAGAAAAAGGCAGCGTAACAGAAATTGATCTGCCCTTCCATCTCCTTCTGTATGCCACATTCTGCCCCCCAGATTCTGGCTGGAATTGAGCATTTAGGAAGCAGCTATATGAGAAAGCCAGCCAGGGAAAGTTTTAAGTTTGGTCCATTGAAATATGCTTTCTTCAGGCCCTATCATTACATTCTGACTGTCAGGACTTCCTAAAAGATTAATGAACGTGGGCATGCAAAGAGCTGGAAGCTTCCTCTGAGCTCCCCATTTGGGTACAAATGGCGGTTAAATGTTCATTAGGAAAAGCTGGTAAGCTGATCATGCGTCTTTGTCAGGCTGAAGGGTACAAGCAGGTGTTTAATGGGAGTGATTATGGTCCTTCATGTTCCACTAAAACTTTTTCCGTCATGGCTGTAACTCCCATCACACATAGATTCTGAAAGGAAGATATTTTATCTGAACCAGGGAGACACCCTTGCCCCCAAGAGAGAACCCAACCAGACCATCTCCTTTTGATTTTCAACTGTGAAGTCCTCTTCAAGTCTCAGCTGAGGTTAAGAAAATATGAGTGCACAAAAGTTTGGAAACATGATGTTAGACGCCTCCAGTGGGGAATGCTGAAACACCCTTTGGTAGCGACCTCTGGGTGCCCTGCTTACCCTGGGAAAGAGATTTGCTTATTGGACTAGAAGTTCTCTCTGCCTTCTCTTCTTATGCACACCTTGAAATCCTTCCCAGACTGAGTCACTGAGTAGTCCCACAGTAAGGCCTTTATGCCAGCGAGGCAAATATAAGCTGAGGCAAATGCAGCTACAAGCTGAAGAAATAGTTGTAGTTGGCCTCCCAGTAGGCACAGGCAGGATATGAATAAAAAACAGTAAATAAAAGGTAAGGCTTTTGCTCCTTTCGTTTGAACAGGGAGTAGACAAATGCTAAGGTATCTTTCCCAAAAGGACATACCCAAACAATGTTTATTTTCACTTCTCAGCAAGTCTCCTTCCCTCCACCAGTCCCTTCACTTCTCTCCTCAAAAAACAAAACATTGGTAGCAATTGTTCTATTTGGACTGATTGTCGAGACAGACTTCCTTCTTTTCTGGCATCAAGGCAGACATCTCACCTGTTGGTGCCAAGGAGGAGATAGCTCTGAACAAGGACAGGGTCTGTGCCTGGGGTATGGTTAGCCAAGGAAAAGCCCCGGAGCCCATATGGAGGATTGGAGCTATGAGAACCTGGACCCCACCTGGCCCAGGCTGTTTAGTTTACACAAAAGTGAACTAAGAAGACCCAGAACTCATCGTCCCTTGGCCAAGCCATTCCTTCTTGCCCCTAGAGCCTCAGGCCCTTGGCCCAAGACCAAGAAGAAAGCAGAGAAAAAGAGAAAAAAGCCTGCAAAGCAGGCAGGGAAGGTTCTCTTCAGGATGGATGGCTCAGTAGTCATCTCCTGCCACCAGAATTCATGAGGAGCTCTTACAAGGTGGCCCTGTTATGGAGTCAGAGCCATTTCTGTCCATTGGGGTGGCACAGGCACAGCAGGACCCCAGAGTCAGGCAGGACTCCCATTCCAGTAGCAAATTGGATCCAAAATCAACTGCTGTGTGCACCCCCAGGAAAACATCAGATGGTCACAGGAAACAATCCCTTTAAGAGGTGGGAGAATGAAGATTGTCCAAGCTAACCACAGTACACAACCTCATTACTGAAGGAGACAGTGTTATTTTCTAGACTTTGCTTTGAAATATCTCAAGGAAAGGTGTCTGCTCTAGGAAGGCAATAAAAACAGCACAAAGAGCACCCTGTGCCCAGTGAGTGGTGGCTGTGAGGCAGGGAGCCAGGGCACCAACAACAGAGGATTCCTCCTCCCTGTTCATCTCAGATCAGGCATCACAGTGAAAAATCTAAAAGCTCTCCAGGGAGCAAAAGTGAGGGGAGGTGTTTACTCTTCAGATTCCAGGAAGCCTCTAAAGCCATGAGACTCAAAGCAAAGCCTCTGTGTGTGGAGTGAGGAAGTTCAAGTGCGCTGGATCCAACCCAAACTAGAACCAGCCAACAGCAAGCCCTTGGTACCCTTGGAGGCTCCCTCACCAGATGTATTCCTGTGATCCTGCTCAGGGTCACCATCCACGCTGTACCCAACTGGATGGGCCCTATGCTGGCCTGAGGGCTGCCACATGGTATGGCTTTTTGGCTTGTGGGTTTGATTTTGTTAGAAATGGAGGTGAGTTAGTTGACAAAAGTCCCCAGGTATGATACCTTTCTGCTTTTCTCTTCAGGCCCACTCTTTTCTCCAGTGGCTTCACTGCCATGCTCTCCTATTGCTGCCCAGACCAGGTTCGCAGTGGGCTCTGCTGCAGACAGGCCTCATCTCGCAGGTGCCCTTCTCGCACCCCTGCTTCTCTCAGGCAGTGGTTGGAAGGCCTGCTCTCTGGAAGAGCTGGGAAGCCAACCCAGAGATAGAGAAGTCACCCTTGAGCATCTTCTCTAGAAGTCTCTTCCTTTCTCCATCCTTATGAAGACTCTTTTCTGCATTCCATGCCTTTCTATTCCAGAAACTCTCCTTTTAACATCAAAGGTCTTAGTAAAATAACTAACCATCAAGAGTTGAACATGGCACATTTCTGCTTGCTTTTTCTTGTTGTAAAGCCTATGACAATGAATGAACAGCTCCTTTGAAAAGTCACCAATATGCATGGATGGGAGTCAAAATTGTTAGGCTTTTTACTGTGTTGTCTTTGGGTCAGAATGTCTAACCAAAACTGTGGGACTTTTTTATATTCCCAGCCCAGAAGGTTAACTGACAGAGAAGGAGGCTCATGAATGTTCCTTCTGTGGGAAGGAAAGAAAGCCCCACTTTGGGCTCATGAATGCGAAAGCTCTCTCTGAACTTGAGATGCAGAAGAGCCTGGGCTGCGCAGCCACACTGCCTAGTTAGGCTGCCAGCGCTGCCTCTCACTAGGTCTGTGGCCCTGGGTAAATCATGAAATCACCCTGTGCCTCAGTTTCCCCATACATGAATTGCGAAGAATGCTATCATCTACATCATAGGGTTGTTGGGAAGAATAAATGTACCATTTTTGTAGAGTACATAGAACAGCGCCTGATATGCATAGCCTTTAATAAATGTCGGCTGCTATTATTACTGTCACGCCGTCATTTTTTATTATAACAGACTAAAACAATAAGCCTTCCTGTGGCCATAAGACCAATCACTAAATTCCTCTTGATTTTATCTTGTCGTTTTATTTACACAAAAGTAAACCCACTCAGTTTCTTACTAGCAGTCCAAATCAGTCTATTTGAGTAACAGGAGCCCTCCAAACATCACTTGCACCTTGCCAGCTTTCACTATTAGCATTGCGTGTGTGTGTTTCCTGGCATGTTTACTGCATCATAAATTACCCAGCCAGTCTGCAGCTTCAGGCAGATTGGGACACTTCTGGAGCAGAATAGCTCACCTTTCCTCTGATTGGTGGTGGGAATGGGTTGGTGTGGACCAGTGACCCAGTGTTTATGCTTGGTCGACCGAGCTCAGATGCAGCCCTCCAAAGTAGGAGCATCAGCTTCAGCAGCCAAAACCTCTGGAGGTTGTCCAGTCAGGCTGCATCCTGGCACTACACCCACACTTTGCCCACTTGCCTCTGAGGGGCCTGGAGTCAGGCCTCCACCACTCTAGGGCAGATGAGGCCACAGTGTCATCACTTGGCACTGTCGACCAAAAAAGCAGCTTCTTGTAAACCTACTATGCTCCTGGTTCTCCTCCTGACCAGTTCCTCCTGTTCTTTCTCTTTCAGATGGATATGCCTTCTCTCAAGAAGAACATGGAGCTGTTACTCAGGAAGAAATAGTTCGTGCTTATGACACTACCAAAAAGAAGTCAAGGAAGAAATAAGACATGAGTTTCCCTGATTGATTCTAGGAAAGATGTGGTTTGTTGCACCCAGTGTTAACACAGCTTAGAAGAGACTGGTGTCAGCAGCCAAAACACTGGAAAACACATTTCTGTGGCCTTAGCCAACCAGTTTGTTAGTTATATATTCACTCCCAAACCTGGAGTATATACTGCAGGGGAAGCCATTTTTTTCCCCTTCCAATTTGTCTGCAGTGCTTGGCCTAATTTTTGTTTATGTTGTTACGAAGCATTCAACTGTGCTCTGTGAGGTGTGAAATTCAAAACATTATGTTCCACCAATATTTAAACATCAATACTAGTTGTTCTGGGAGAAAAGTAAAAGGGTTTTATGTTGCGTGAGAAACCCATCTTGTGGAATTGCAGTGGGGACGCACTGACTTCCTGTTTTGTTAACACAGATTAAGTCCACTGGGCAGCATGTAAACTTCACTTTAGGCAGGTTGCCGCCTTGCTTTGATTCCTATTTTGTTTGTATGAGGTTGGCATAAACTTCTTGATTGCAATGAAATCACAAAAAAATACGTATCTGATGGTAAACGTGAGGACGTTTATTTGGACCTGCTAGCCACATTACCAGCAGGGCAAACCAGTTGGTGTTCCAAGAGTCCGCTGCCCCTCCCCAGGAGCACTCCGGCCCCCTTCCTTAGACCTTCTGCATGGCTGGCCACTGTGCCCAGTGCATGGCGACTGGTGGGCAACCGACCCAAATCTGCACTCACCCCTGCTCCAGATATGGATGCGAGAAATCCCTTCTTCCACCACTCTTTTCCTTCTATAACTACAGAGAAGAAACATAACTCTTCTGCATATATTATAAATATTTATCTCCCTCTTTCTGATGACGGGGAAGTCTTCAGGTCAGAGTGGGAACAGAACCATCTGGGCACCCCTGCCCTGGTCTGCTACGCAGTGCTCATTTCCCCATGTCCCAACCACTGGACCTTTGGCCTCTGCTTAAATTAGAACCCACGCTTGTGTTCTTGGCATTTCAGAACATATTTTGGATTTTCATTGTTGGAAATGTATGAATGTAAAGCCTGTCTTCTCAATGAAGAATCGCACCTGTCACTGGAGCTCTAGAATCAGGGAGGAGAAGTACATGCAGGTGGTGACTAAGGGACCTCAAGGGTCCAGGGGGCAGATGACCTTTGCGGTAGAAAGCAAGAAGCAGGGGCACAGAGACTGGGAGGGGGACACAGAGGACATTTTCCACCAGATCTCCTCAGTAGAAACTCTGAAAGCAAGCCCTAAAGTCCTGACCGTTGCCATGATCAGCCTAATGTATCCAGGAAGTTAAACATGATGTTGACATCCAGTTTTAGTTGAAAAGAATTCCAAACATTTCCCAAAAAATGTCCTCTTTTTGTATTGAAAAGGTTTCCTTTCTTTATCTAGTCAGTGTTAGATATAGGTACCTCTAAATCTGAAATGTCCTGAGTCTAAGAAAAAGAAGGGAAATGCTGAGTCACCGACTGGAAGATGGAGTCCCACATTCTAAATTTGGACAGAACCGGGATGCCTTGAGGCATGATGTGAGCACCTGGAGCCCTTAATAAACCACCAGCCCGGAGGCTCTTTCTCTCCTCTCTGCTTTGGTTGCCAAATCAGATTTTGGGAGGGCTTAACATAAATACTTCTGGGCAGCTGTTAGTGGTTAAAATGGCGCAGTCCCTCTAGGAATGGCTGTGCTAAATTAGGAACTAAAACAATAGTGCACTTGGCTTCCAAGGCCTTTGTTTTCAGAGTATCCCCATCTTATTGGGCATTGAAATAATTTAGAGTATGATGCATTAACTGCAAAAACTAATCCTTCACTTATGAGATGACTATGAAACAGAGGGCTTGAGGGGAAGCAAAGCAATGCAATTAACAGGTGAGACTCAGAAAATTGTCCTTCCTTCCTCCCCAAGGTGATAAAACATTTTAAATACCAGAGAACCCATCAAGATGAATCATTGAATGACTGTCGTGGAAGAATTACAATCCCCACCCCCACCCACACCCCGCAAAAAACTGACTATAATTAACAAAGCAAGGTATGTATCTTTATTGCACACCTAGAAAGATGGCCTAAATACAGAGAAAAAGTTAGAGCCGAATGTGTATTTGGCATCCTGACTATTTGATTTCATTTGGGAACTAAGTCTATTTGTAAAGAGGGAACTCAAACTCATTTTTGTCAAACTCATTTTGACTCATTTAGCTCTTTCTTGAGCTTGAAACCTTCTGAATTAGATTTGTTAATTACAATGTGTGTATTCTTTGGGCCTTTTAAATTTTTTTTTTTTTACATTAAAATATAGTTCAAATTTTCTGGGATTTAATTATATTTTCAATTTTTTTTTTTTTGAGAAGTAGACTAAACAGTCTTTGCAATAACATGCACAAAACAGAAGGCATTAGAAGGAATGCCTTTCTATTTATTCTCTCATGCAATTAAGCTATCTTGTAGCCCAATGACTAAATTGGGTTTCTAGGAGGAGCAGCTGTCACCACGTGTGATGAATAATATTTAGCCAGGTCCGACTCCAGGGCTGTGTCATTTGTCCTGTCTTTAAATTGAGGTCAGTGTCACACACACACCCTCCCCAGGGAGTAGGGTAGACTGGACTATGTTGCATGCTCTGGCTGTCATTTCAGTGAAAATGCCACATGGGACTTGTCACTATGCCATACAGTAAGTGACACACAAGCTGGCAGGTCATACTCGGTCAGCACTACATGGCCTGACTCTGGACTAAAGTGGCAGAATCCACTTAGGCACAGTCCTGGTCTAGAATTGCACACTCAGTGCCAACTCTGGCTTGAGTTTCCCATTCCAGCTGACGCTGCAGAAGGAAAAGACCATCTATTCTGTGTGTTTGGTCTGAATTCAGCTACTTGCTGGCCCGCGTCAGCAAGGGTGGCTGTGGAAAAATGCACATTGAGAAGGAAGGGTGGGAGAGTAGAATAAACCATTTCTGCTTGGCTGTCTGGATTAGCACTTCACTGCTGATCAGAATGGACTTTGAAATAAATTTGGGGTGTAGCTGATGAATCTATTCTGTCTCTAGGCAAAATATTCCAGGCATCGTGACCTGTGTCAAAGTCTCCCATATCCCAACACAGATGCAAACGTGATGACCTTTTCCAGGTAGTATAGCATACAAAACCTGTGCTAGAGAAAGCAGATGCTGTTTCTTTAACACTCACAGAGTAATAGCCTAAGTCATGAACCCAGCTTCAGCAGAGCATGGCTAAGAACTCTGTTGACGTTTTCTTTCCCTTGACAAGGCTTCAGGTCTTGCTGTAGGGAACTGGCAGTGAAAATCAGTAATAACTTGTCAAGAAACAGTGAATAATGGGGGAAAAAAGTGAGTATAGGTAACTAATGCCTGAAAATGCATATGCACATATATATTACAGGATTTAAGGTTGAATTTTTAGAAAGGAAAGCTATAGTCTATAATCTCCATTTGTTATAACAATGACTCTTTATCTTATTTTTTTTTTTTGAACCATGAGCAAGAGAATTTTCTATCATATTCCTGTTCCTAGGGATTTATGTCTTAAACCATAAGTTGAATAGAGTGTTTGCAAAACTGTGCTATAGGATAAGGTAGTCTTTGGTTTTGAACATGTGAAAGAGCTGCACACATTTCAGCCAGGGTTTGAATTACTGCCCAGGGTCATTGTCCCAAAGTAATTCAAGGAGTGATTTAGCTTCAGCATTTGAAATGTAGCCTTCATCTCCTGGGATCCATAAAAAATGTGAACAGGGAAACTGTGGTTAAGCAGAGCCTGAATAATAACTTGGCAGAGAAATGAGTTTTATCAGGTTAAGTCAGAAGATAGTATACCTCATCATAGCCCTTAAATGCTTTATCCATGCAAATGTTTAAATTAGCAAATATAATAATGATGGAGATTGTGAAAACAAAGCTTCTCACCCCAAAACCCCACGAAAAAGGAAAGCAGGAATCAGTTGGCTTTGTGATTGGTTCTTCATTGGCTCAAGGCAGTTGTTTGACTCAGCATAGCCTTGGGGGAGATAATTTAGCCTCCTACTAGCCTGTTTTTCCTTCTTGAAGGGCATGGAGGATGGAAGGGTTTTCAGTGAATCATAGAGGTGAGATCCATAATGACATTAAAAGTAGTCCCACAAGGAATACACCTGGAATACTCAACTTGATGTACTGTATTCTTCATTTATTTCTTCTCAGCATCTCAGATTGCCCAACAGTACACACTTCCCTTCCCCTTCCCCTTAAAAGAGCTTGATTTGATGTCAAACCTCCAAGTAATATTCTGTTTAAAGTGCTTTCTTAGTTCTCTGGGTATGAGTGATCTGTGAATCAGGGATGCAGTCTTCAGAGGAAAGAAAAGGCTTCTGAACCAACATAAATCTAAGTGGTCAGAAGCTACAAAACAAATGGGAAGCAAGAAAGAGGGGGAGCTCACCCTTCACCCCACCCCGAGCACAATGCAGAGCTGTTAACTCTTGACAAACACCTCTGCTCCCTGACTGGGGAAAGACAAAAGAGTGATTCTTTCTATACCCAGGCTGGCTCATTTTCAAATGACAATCTCTTGCCCTAGCTGCCTTAGCGATATCTACTCTGCTCTTTCTCCCAGGCATTAGACCAAGAAAAACATGCTCACAAGATTAGCCCATAGGCATTTCTTCTGACCTGGCTAAAGAAAGAAAGGAGACCTGTTTGTTTTAAACATCAGGAACAAAGTGTCAGGTGGCTTTGATTTATGACAGAAATAGGAAGAAAGTTGAGGTAACAGCGCTATCCAAATAACCCCACCCAGGAAACTTGGGGGTCAAGAGAGCTTATCAAGAATCTTATACACAAGCTCTTCAGTGTGGAAGAAAAAAGGTCAGAAAGAGAGAAAGCCTCTTTGAGCCCACTTTCCAATGGGGTTGGATTCAGATGCAGTCCTAAATACAGGTTGGTGTGCAGCTACAGGTGGACTAGTCAACACCAAAATTTTTTTTTTTTTTCATTTAAAAAGATAGTTTTTCCCTTTCCAACAAGTTCCCTGCCCAAGTAAATACTTTTCTGGTTTTTCAAACATGCCTGTTCTACCGCCCCTCTCCCATGTTGCCAGTGGTGACAGAATTCAGAAAGGCACTGTGCTGCTTGCTTCTAAGCTTCCCTCTGAAGGGCAATGTTAGTGGCCAAGTTGGGCCAGCCAGGGTGAGCAGAGGCCTCGGCCTCTGTGGCCAGCGTTCCTGCAGCTCCCGGGATTGCTGTTTGAATGTACTATCTTTGTGGTGTCTTTCTCATGCAAGCAAAGCCATGTGCTCTCCTGTCCGCTGTCACATCTGTGCTCAGATTGCTTAAATATTGTTTGCGACGGGGAGGTTTTAATCTGGTTATGCAGAGAGAAGCAGGGCTGTGGGGGCACGTTTAATTGGCTCCCAGCAGAGCAGTGAGCGCTTCTATGGAGTGTGGGGTTTTTTTCTTCCCTCCCTCTAGAAGTGTTACCGTTTTCACGTCCTATTAATGTCCTCTGGTTGTTAAATTACAGAAGCACATTATAGTGGAGCTGGGTTCCCTCCTGGAGTGAATACAAATGAAGGGCATTTACTTGTATTTTTAGAGGTTTTGGGAAATGTAGTGATTTGTGGCTTTGATCAATCCTGTTGACTGGTGTATGTCTGCACAAACCTGTTTCAAATAAATCTTTTGTTGAAGTAAATGATTGCACTGTGTTTTATTTTGGAATTTTCTTTTCCACTAATAAGCAGTCATTGCCATAGGGACTTCGGACTATACCACAGAGGTTTTGTCAGCAGGTACAGACTACATATATGCTCTGCCCAAAGCGCTGATGTCCCCAAATGCTGTTAAATGATAGGAGTGCAGGGAAATCTGAATTGCAGATGAACTTGATCTCCATGTACACCAAGGCGAGGCCTCCTTTATGAGCAGAAGGTCCAGAGGCCATACTGAGTTTGGATTGATCACACAAGCAGAGGATTGTACATAGAAGACCATCTCTCCTTTATTACTTTACTGCCTTTGATTCTGTTCAGTTTCCCTACAAACTGAGATATGGAGGTGGGGCGGGGGGCTGGTTTCAAATTCTATTGTCAAGCATGAAATCATGGCATTGTTATTGAAGGGCCTCAGAACATGCCACCTCAAGTATGCAGCCTTGCCATATTGATTATACAGAGGTACAGACATTTGAGAAACAACAGACATAGGAATCATAGGAATGACTCTCTGCCCTCCCTCTTCTGCCCAAAAGCAAGTCATAAAATTTCCCACTAGAAAGGTGCCTTCCCTGGACCAGAAAGAGAAGAACATCATTATCACTAGACTGGGAACTGATGCCGGAATGGGCCTGGACAAACACCTACTAAAATAACCCTGATCTTCCATTCATTCCCTCATATAGTTCATCATCCCACAATTTACTACCTTTAGCCCAAGCCGCTCTGCCTCAAAAACATTCTCAAAATTTACTTTTCTTTGTGTAAAAAGATATATAAGCTTCTGAACCTAACAGTTTTTGGGGTATCTTTCTTTTCCTTCTGAAGACTCCTTTGTACATGTAAAAATATTAAATAAATTGTATGTTTTTCTTCTGATAATTTGTCTTAGGTCTATTAAATTCTTAGGCCAGCCACAGAACCTTAGAGGGCAGAAAGTTTTCCCTCCCCTACATTATTTTAAATAGTGTAAAGACATCTCTGCCCACTCTCTGTAGGCATAATGAGTCACATGCAGGTGAGCATCCACACTGTCTTGGGGTTCCCAGAGGCACAGTTCACACTGCAGAGGCCACATTGAACCCACTGAGGTGGGAACTGAGGGTCCCAGACAACAGCATTAGAAGCTTGGAGGTGGGGCTTCCTCCCTGGAAACCAAGCTCAACTTTAGTTTACTGCCTGTTTAGGTGACTTTGTTTGAGCGACTCTATACTTGACCAGCCTGCAGTGAGGATAAAAGATAGGGGTGGAGGACAGAAAGGGAAGAAATCTTGCGAGACACAATTCCCTGCCCAGGCTTGTGTCAAAAATCCAAAAAACCGCCTAATTGCCTGCTTCTAATTTACAGCAATGTCTCATGGCTGACTCTGATTCTTCCCAGATAATCTGAGCCCCACTAGAAATGAATTTGGCTAGTTCAGGGAGGTCATGCCTTGGTGTCCCTGTCCCTGTAAACATGGGCAGGGATAGGAGGCCAGGGCCCACTTCAGAGCAGAGTTTGGAACAGGGAAGGACTTCCCTGCTTTACATAGGCTGGCATTTTAAAAAATCATGCAAAACTGAAAATGATTTAGTACAATCAACAGTGAAATGTTATATT